TGCCTTGGGATTTCTGAATAGTGGCCCAACGGCCTTGATGGGGAAGATTTCGGACATGTGCTTGATAAGATCTGGTTCAAGCTCATCGAATGTTTCCATCAGGATGCAAAGTGGCTTGTCAAGATTTTTGTACTGACCTAAAATAGCCCTCCTCAGGAAAGGATAAGGAGTTGTAGGATGTAAGAAACTAGGCACTTCATCATGTTTTAGGAGAGGCATGCATGGTAATTGGACATCTATCTCGGGGTGCTCCTCATCAGGGAAAGGTACAGTACCGTGATAGTAATGGTAATATGAGGCAAAACAAGCGCAGGATTGAACCCAAAGCATTGCAGAAGGGAGACCTAGACTTGTGGCCACATCTGTAACCCATGGAATGAAAGGGTTGTTTATGAGGCAAGAAACCGGCCGCCCTTGCTCTGCATTTTTCTTGATCATATGAGGAATTACTTGTTTACCAACAAGCTCAAGTTGAAGTAAGTATTGATCAAGGTCTTGGCGCCTAGGCTCGTCCTGTTCCCATCCATCTTCAAAGAATTCAAACCGGATAAAGCCATCACCAAACGGGGTCAGCTTATCTATGATGCCACTGGCTTTTCTCATCTGTTCGCCAATGGTTTCAGTAGTGGAGAAGGTGACAAGGAAGCCTTTGGAGGCAAGGATTTTTCCAAGTCTAAGCAAAGGATTTACATGGCCTTGGGCTGGGAAAGAAATAAGGAAGAGATGGCCAAGAGATTCGGAAACCATTTTTCTCTTCCGGGTTTTTTTGACAGGCAGAGAGACGGAAGAGATTGATGAACAGGAGAGGACTTGATGAGGTTGGGAATGAGTGGTGAGCATGGAATGAAAGGATGCAGATATATATAGCATTTATAAGGAGTTACATTCAAAGTTTTTAGTGATAGATAGATCTACAGAGACTGTTAGTTGGCTGACGGTCAAATGCATACAATGTTTCAATTAAAACTCTTTCCTTGGCTTCTTCGAACAGAAGATGAAATCAAATTTGATTACGCTAATTAATTAACTGTAGCTTTCAATGATTTTGCAGTCATATTAGAGCAAAATGTATATTGTGATTATAGAAGCGAGAAACACATCTATTAGCAATTTTGCATGTCGATTATTATTCTCCTTTTCCGATCATGGAAATCAGTAGTGAAGACATGTTTGAAAATCTTTGGAAAACACCCAGAAACCCAATACATCGGGTAAACCAACAACTTATACCGATTGAATAATGAAGATTAATTACTAGTGCAAGTGCACTTCATTCCTTGATTTCTGGTTGTCTATGAAAGATTGTACACTTGCATATGCTTTCCAGCACGTCATGCTATGAAGGGATATTCGGTTCCTGCTTAAATCCAAATTTGTTTTTCGATCAATGCGATCGTACATGGGGTCGAATTTCTTTAGGGAAACCAACGTAATTTATCCTCACAGTTTGTTATGCTGTTGGATGTTTCTCTCAGTCAACACTCAGCTGTACGATATTTGTATTGTTCGGAGTTCTAAGCCTAGCAACTTCCTATTGCACCTTGGAGCGGTCCGTCTAATTTTAGTTGCCGATCAAGTCCCAGTCAAGATGTCCTAAAATTTTTTATTGGAAACTCACATTGATATAGAAATTCTTGCCATTAGCCTAGATTAGAGGGTGAATCAATATATTTCCTTAAGAAAAAACAGAGAGAGATGATGATCAAAATCTCTCTTCTTTTTTTTTGGTTTGATTAATGTGGTTGCACGAGTCTACCTAGCAAGCCACAGCATAATAATTCTTAAATACCAGAGAATAAAATTTAAAATATTTTATGAACTAAATTATTTTTTTATCGCATCATGCTTCGAAATAAAAAAACAAAGAATTAAAAAGAAAAAAAAGAAGAAGCAAGAGAATCTAGCCCTTACCAAAACCTAGGCCAACAACCCAAGAGGTGTCGTTAAGCCCTTAAATACAGATTTTTTACAGCGTTTGTTACGATGCATTTGATTGGATTATCTACTTTAGCTGAATGCTTTAAAAGCATTTTCAAATAACAAAAAAAATTATTTTTAGAAGACAAGTTATTGATATGGTTTTTGAATAATGTGATTATAATTTTATTTATACATATTTACATATATATTCTAATAAAAAAATTGTCTTAACAATTCGTTCATATTGATACTTTTAGTAAGAAAACCTATTGAAGAATAAATCTTTGAATAATATATTTTAATGTTTTTCATAGACATGTGAGGCTTACCTCTCTTTAACATAAAAGCAACTTTTTGTTTAGCTCTTTCATCCATTGAAGCTATAAACAAGGAAGAGATGGCCATGAGAGTACTTGGAAACCATTTTTCTCTTCCGGGTTTTTTTGATGGGCAGAGAGACGGAAGACAATGAGAAGAGATTGATGTACAGGAGAGGACTTGATGAGTTTGGGAATGAGTGGTGAGCATGGAATGAAAGTTTGCAAATTAATATGTATAGCATTT